TCCTTTTTTGGTCTTTTTGAGACAGGGTCTTGCTATGCAGTTCAGGGTGGCCTTGAGCTCCCTATGTAGCTCAGGCTGGTCTCGAATTTGCAATGATCCTTTGACCTCAGCCTCCCGAGTGCTGGGATTACAGGTGTGCACGACCATTCCTGGTTTTCAATTCTTTATATATTTTAGATAGTAGTCCTTTGTCTGAGAAATATCTGGAAAAATTTTTTTCCCACTTTGTGGGTTGTCTTTTAACTCTTGGTGATTTCTCTTGTTGTTCAAAAGCTTTTTAATAAGATGAGATCCCAGTTGTTGATTCTTTATGATAGCTCCTATGCAACTGACGTTTTGTTCATGAAGTCTTTGCCTACACCAATGTCTTCAAGAGTTCCACTTATTTTCTCTCAGCAGATTTAGTGTTTCTGTTTTAATATTTAAATCTTTGATCTATTTTGATTTTAGCTTAGTGCATGGTGATAGACACCAGTTTTAGTCTTTGGCATGTAGGAAAGCCAGTTGTTGCAGCACCATATATTAAAGAGGCTTTCTCCCTGTGAAAGTATATCTGAGGTCACTGGTAAACAATGTGGGGGCAGAGTCCAGATCTGAGTTGATTAATCCCAGCAAGTCAACCATAGCTTTCTATTGGGGTAGTGGATAATACCAGCAAGCTCAGACCCTCAGTTCCACTGAAGTTCAGTCTGGTTTCCTCCTGACAACTTGAACTCAGTAGTCTCACCCCGACACTGGGAGCCACTAGATGGAGCCAGCCCACAGCTGTTCTGAGCTCTGAGCTCGGTTGGTGCCACTCCAAGATGGCTACCTGCCAATTGCCGTCTCCTGGGGCATGTCTGAACCCAAATAACTCATTAGCAACAGGAGTCTACTGCATCCACAGCTCTGTTCCACAGGTGCATTTATCCATGGAGCTCTTTAGGGCCACTGGTAGTCACTGTGTGTCTGTAGGTTTGAGCTACCCCTTCCATGACACGTCGGAGCTTGAGGAGAAAATGCCACCTGCCACCTCCTTCTTCTTTGTTGAAATCTCTCTCTTCACCCTCCCTGTGGGCTTAAATTCTCACTTCAGATCTTTCCTGGGTCCTAGAGACCCACTTCCCTCCTTCTCTTACTCATGTTGCTATATTCTAGCATCTGGACACCAAATCTCAGAGAGGCTCCACCATCTTTAAGGAAGCCCCTTGCTATTTTTAAGAAGTCTTACATTTGATGATCACTACCTGCAAGCCTGTCTTCTAGATATGATATTTTATCTTTACATTGGTTCATTCTGCTATGTAAATTTTCAGTAAAATTTTTGATCTCCTGGATATCTGTTTGAATCTGTTGTATGGAACCCAGTTCTTTCCTATGTTTGGCATTCATGGTTTCCATCACTTTCCTAAGCTCCTCTATCTTTAAAAAATCTGTATCTGCTCTAGATTCACTAACCATGTTCTTCATTATGGTCATCATCGTTTAGTTATCTGTACAGTTGTTACCTGATTTTTTTTCTAGAGACTCATTCATCTGCTTTGTAGTTCCGTTGCTACTATTTCAGAAAGTTCGACTTTTGAATTCTACCCAGCTTTTGATTTCTTCCACCTCAGGGCCCCTTGGATTTGTCTTGGGTGAGTCTAAGGTCAGGTTGCATCTTGCTTCTGCAATTTCTCATTTTCTATTTTTTAAATTTGATTTCTGTGATGATGCTTGTAAACTGCTTATGATAGGTGCCTTTATTACTAGTATCAAGACTTCTGTAAGAAATGACTACTTTTCAGAGATGTCTCCTAAGTGTTACTGGCCTTTTAGTCTGTCCCAAGATTCTGCCTCTTCAATATATTAAGGATGAGAGGTTGCTGTCTTTTTGGCCTAGCACCCAGTTCTTTGGTACTGGACTATGGTATTGTTTGTGACCACTAGACAATCTCAGTATTGGCATACAAGAAAGAACAACTGATCACAACTATGTCACCTTGGCTAAAGGAGTACAATCAGTAATATCAATAGCATTAAGCACAGTCTGGAAAATGACAAACTGTGAAAACTGTTAATTTCTCACCTTTAACCATAGGTACAAGATTTATAGTTATATAACAAAATCTAAAACAAATCAGAAACCTATATACAGTAAATATCTACTCAGTAGAGTGATTTCACTCTCTGAGGAGGAAACTTAAAAAGGATAAAAGGAAAAAGTAGAGAAAGAAAAGAAGAGAAAGAAATGAGAAGTATGGCTAAAGGACAAAGGAAGATTACCTAAGCTTTGGGACCTGGTGAAGAAGACAGGAAGGAAAAAAAGAAGGAGAAAACAAAAACAAGAACAAGAACAAAACCGAAAAGAGTGTTCACACTCATGAAAAAACAAAGACCAACAATTAAGAAAAAAGAATGAAAAAAACAAAGAAAAAAAAGAGCTTTCTGTGATTTCAAGCATGTGGTTATCCTTTGGGTTCTACAGTTTTGTGGTAGTGTCCAATTAAAAGCATGTCTCCACTGTCACTGGTAGACAAAGAATGCAGACAGAGCTCAGATCCATGCTAGATAATCCCAGCAAGCTTGCAGTAGGATTAGGGTAAGGTGCCAATTCTGGTGCTTTCATATCCACAGAAGTTCAGGCTGATATACTCCCCATATACTTCCTGAGGTCACTTCTCAAATAAGCCACCTACAGCTAAATCCTTTTGTCATCATGTATTAGGATTCTCCAGAGAAACAGAACTTGTATACTATATATAAGATCATGCAGAGCCACTGCTCCTATTCAAAGCTTGTCAAGCATGAATAGCTGATATCCCAGTCCAAAAGTTGTTAGGTAGGAGAATTCTCTCTTCCCTTGGGGGCGGGTTAACCTTTTATCTTATCCATGCCTTCAACTGATTAGAGGAGGTTCACCCAACATAATGAAGAGCAACCTGCTTTATGCAATCTACTAGTGTTAATCTCAATTAAAACACCCCCATAGAAACATCCAGAATAATATTTGACCAAATATCTGAGCAATCCATAGCCCAGTCAAGTTGACACATGAAATTAACCATCGCAGGGTCTGATTTTAGGGACAACTCAAACCAAGACAACAAGCATAACTCATCATTTTGAAACATACACCTCAATTTGTAGTGAAAGTGGAAACCTCTAGTACATTATTTTATGTGAACCGCTCATCACAGGAACTACACATTTCACCGTTAGTCACCTTGTCTGCAGACTTCTGCCCCCTATTGAAGAGGCATTGTAGTCTTCAGGGAAAATTAGAGCTGGTATTTCTGTTAATGAATGTGAGAGAGCTGAAGACCAGGATGGAAGAAAAATTTGTACTGTGTGCACATCTGGAACATTCAGTATGCCTTGCCCGATATGTACCCTGATCTCCAGGTACTGTCTCTCTGAATCAGGCACTTAGCTCCACGATTAGGGAGATTACCCAGGTGCTTATACCACATACTCACAGGTCGAGCTCCTGGCTGGGCCCCAAAATTACCACCACTGGTGAAAATGTCACCAATTTTTGTCGCTGTCCGTGGTGCTGATTAAGTACTAAAGCCTTGTTAGCACTTTTGTTGATGTTGTTCCTGCTGGAGCGGGAGAGGGAGAGGATAATTTAAAGATAAATGCCATACTTTGGCTCCTACAGAAATGTCTTACAGGATTTAGAGTAGTGTCATGTCTATCCCCATTTGCACCAAAGAATCAACACTTTCTTGATGTAACATTTCCAGAACAGTTTCTGGGATTTAGTACAGTGAGTACTGTACAGCAGAACTAAACAGAAATCAACCACATCTGGAATTTGCAGGCTATTATCTACAGCAGGGAAGCCATGATACCCTGGCTATCTCGGTGTTTGAATTTTCCTCTCTTTGATTCCCTGTATGTAGTGTGTCGGGAAATTTTGGGATTGCTATCTTCTAAATATCTCTTGCCAGGGATTTAGCTCAGCAGCACAGTGCCTGCCTGGCAAGCGTGAGGTCATGAGTTTGATTCCCGGTATCAAATACATAAATAAATAAATAAATAAATAAATAACTACCTCTTGGATGAGTCCACTTTCTCACCCCCTCCACCACTTCCATGACGATAATTACCATCACTACCTCTATCATAACCTTTACTCTTTTTCTTTTTTATGAGACAGAGTCTCTTTATGTCCATAACCTTCACATTTGCAGTTCTATTTGCTCTCATTCCTTGCAAGGATCATCTCTTCAGGATAAAACAGACAAAGTAGCTGATGGTAGTGGTGCACAGCTGTAATCCCCACACTCAGGGAGCTGAGGCAGTAGGATCGTGAGTTTGAAGTTGGCCTGGAATACACAGCAAGTAGAGGCCAACCTAGGCAACTTAGCGAGACTTTGTCTTAAAATTAAAAAACAATTTTTTTTTGAGACAAGGTCTCGCTATGTAATTCAGGCCGGCCTTGAGCTCACTATGTAGTGTAGGCTGGCTTCGAACTCCTGGTGACCCTCTGAGCACCACCACGCTTGGCTCAAATTAAAATTTTTAAAAAGACTAGGGCTGTGGCTCAGTGGTAGGGTACTTGCCTTGCATGTGCGAGGCCCTGGGTTTAAATTCCAAGACTGCAGAGCCAAAAAGAACAATGAAAAAAATCTTTCGAAGTGGAGTAGCTAGGTCAAAATACAAGTATGTTGTTTAAGTGTCTTATCTGAATATCTGTATCAAAAAAACTGGTGCATTTTATTGCATGTAAAGTACACGTCAATAGGATTGTCTAAAAGAAATACATAAAAATGCAAACAAGAACGCTCTCACTAATAGACCCTTTAACATGTGCCGTGGCCGGGGTAAGTGAATGAGCTACAACACAAACCTTTGGGTAGGTTTTATTTTACAGCTAGGATGATCAGAAAGAAACTTGCCCCGCTTCCAACAAGATTCTCAGGGACAGCGCCAGGTAAGCTTCCCGAGACTGGACAGCAAGCAGGTGGCCAGGACTGAATCCCACGCTTGCTGTCTGCGCCACAGGGACGCCCTGCGGCCTGGGGAGCCAAGGGTTCTTGCGAATGCAGAGGGACAGGGAGCAGGCGAAGGGTTACAGATCAGCAGGCTGCGTCTGCGCGGAGTTGAGAAGGGGCTTCCGTGGCTGCAGGGTCGCAGAAACGGGTGTGATGCAATCACGCCAGTCCGTGCGTCAAAGGGCGGCTCCCAGGACGCGGGGACTGCGCTGGCGCTGGACCCGCCGCCGCCCTCTCGGTCCCGGCTGCTGCGGGGGGCGCTCGGGTCCGCTGCCATTAACCTTCGTCCCCCGCCAGGAAAATCACCTAGCGTCACCGGCGACCCCCCCGACCCCAGCTCAGCACCAACGGCACCCCCTGGCAACAGCCCTAGCGACCTGTAACTCTTGACAACCGCCCCAGCCACCGGTAACCCCTGACAACCGTCCCACCCCACCCCAGCCCGGGGGCCCGCTCCGGGGCGC